TTGGGCTTCATATTTTCGGTATAAATGCCAGACTATTTTCGGTATAAATGCCAGACTATTTTCGGTTTTCCGATGGGTCTTTGAATCGCGGCTTCAAAGAGAAAGCGATTGCATCAACTTCTCTGGAGTATTATGGACTCCCTGAAGAGAAGATAATTCATCCCTTGATTTATTACACAAAACAACAATAATATGTTAAATTTATTCTCGCCAAGGATTCAGTTCTGAGTTCTTCGAAAATTCGGGATTTGAAGGAGGTGAATAATAATCAGTGGAGTTTAGCCGAGGATAAGGAAAATAATTTATATATTTATATATATATATTTCTGTCTGGATGGAAATAATTTTGAAACAGGGAGATTTGGGTAATTGAATTGAAAGTTTTGTCGCATGTTGTCGAGACAAAAGTCCTGATAAAATCCAGAATATCGTTTTTGCTTGACACTTGACACTCGTGATGTTGGACCCAAGTTTCTCAACAAAAGTTTTCCAGGATATTCTTGTAGCGAGTGCAGCTAGTTGAGTCACTACACGAAGAGTCCATTTACATAGATTTACATATGGAACACCGTGGGCTGTACTGGGCCACGAGATAACGCCCCATCTGCATAGACTACTATGGACTATTATGTACATGCTATACGACAATATCCGAATCTATATGCATTGAAATTACCTTAACGCCGTGAGTATATCTCTCCCATTGGGGGAGTCCACTCATATGTATTTCATTGACCTCATTTCAGGGTGAATTGAATCCACTCAGTTGATTGAAATCTCCATTCCCCGGAATTCCCCGGAGTTTCTTAATTATCATTTTTTAATTATCCATTCACGTTCCCATTGATATCCATGGGATATCAATTAATGAGGTAACGAAATTTTTAGCAGTTGAAATCGTTAAATCTTGAGCATCAGATTGTGAGGATTAATTGTGTGGTATGTACCTGATGGAAATGATATTTTGGTGAGGGAAACAATCTCGGGGAATGAATCCTTTATAAAAGTTTTAACGGAATTTCTGGAGATATTTTCTTCGTTTTATCTTCAATTTGTCAAGCGCGAAAGTTTCATTTAACGGGAGTTTGTCAGTTCCATTATTTAAACTGATAACAAACGGGGGATTGATAACCGAGGGGAACTGATAACGCATACTAAAAATTATCTCCATCATGTGAATATATAAAATATATAAAATATATAAAATATATTGACTAACCAGTGGAATTGCAGTTCCAATGATTAAATAACATCAATTGTTGAATTAATTTGAGTAAATACGGGAAAAATCGATGAGTTATCCAGTCTGAAAATAGGGGTCTAGAGTTCCTGAGATTTCCGGAGGTTTTCAAGTCGACAGGAGCTCGATGATGCTTGACAGTTGCTGATGTCAGTGAACAATCGATGCCCACCCCAAATGCTAATTCTTGTTTGCGCATTTTTTTTTTCAACACACTTTTACCCAAAAAATTCGTTATCACCGATCAATTTTCAATTCGACAGGAATAATTTTCCTAAAGAGTTGCGCTATCTTCTCTCAAATAAATTAAAATAAAGTTTAACGAGCGTCGCAATGCCCATTCCTGATAAAAACCTTCTTATTACCAGGTCTGCTTGGGGCATGTACCACCCCTGTCTCATATTTCCCCTGCTTTTGATTTTCCCCAGGTTCTCCACTCCCACATATACATTATCATCTTTTTCTCCTCTTTAATATGGCATATAGTTTTCCTCTCCGCAGAAATCCCATCCATTGAGCACAGAAAAAACCCCTCGAGCATCAATTTAGCTAATGTGTAATATGTTTTCACAGTTGGTTTATTCTATCTCCATTAACCCCGGGCTGAATAAATTCTGAAAAATACTCAGAGGTTTTTTATCAAATCCGTGAAAAGAAAATATATCACGAGGGGGCGGATGGTGACGAGGTGAAATAATTTTATAATGGATCTACTCCTTCATTTTTTACACAGATTAATTCATTTGAATATTGTATCTCTCAGTAATGGTGGAATTTGTGCGCTCGTAATGAATTCCACGGAATTCGAGAAAACTCGCCAATTAATTTTTCATGAATTTTCCATTTCGATTTTAATCCACCGTTGTCTGATTTAATTAAGATTTCTACAGTCGAGCGGTTTCAGCTGACGGTGAAATAGTGCAATAAGTACTCAATTGGAGTAACAAAGTAGAAAGAAAGTATTCCCTATACATGATGGTAATAAAGTTAACGGGGAGACCATCTGCTGGAGAAATTCTGGCTTATCGAGTTTCCCTGAGGCACTTTTCAACAGTTACTGGGAGCCCTTCACTCAAGATAAGACGTAAAAAAAAAATGGCAAAGTAGAAGTACATGACAAAACTTTTTGGCTTTGAAATACTTAAATTTTCATGGGACCACTAGCCTGCTGAAAGCGGATTCAGTCTGTTGCGGACCCGGAAGTTTAGCGGTTGCCCAGAAGAATCGATGCTTCGATTTACATATTTATGAGGTTAATAATAAATAAGCTCCACAAGATCAGAGGGGATGAAGTGGAAACGAAGTAGTCGTCGAGAGTCTGAGTGTCAACACATCAAGTATTCTGGCGTCTTGTCACGATGAAATTAAATCACGTGCCCCAGCCGAATGCCAATCAATCATATTTCATTAACAATGGAATTACCAGAATGACAATTAATCTCAATTACTCCTAACCCAGTGATCCCCTCAATATTTTGAAGACATGGAATTTACTAAATCCAATTCCATCAAATTCAATTCCTAACGAAAGACGCAGTAATGACACAGAAAACAAGAGCCACTTGTCCCATAATAAATCACACCCTCTCTTGAAAAAAAAAGCACTAGCTCCCAGTGATGTCGTGTCACGTCCCAGTAACTTATCCACACACTCAAAACCCAAATCAAATGTCCCTCGTGACGTTTGCTAAGTCGTAAAAGACCAGTGCTATTCCACCCAGAAGACCACGTGTTCCATTATCATCTCGGTATGTCTGAGCCACCGGATTGCATTTATAACCATCACAATGAAAGAAAAATCAGTTCCATCTCGAAGAATTACATTAAAGAATACTCGTACCAATGCCCTTTTATCCTCCATTTTTCCTTCTTATTCCCTTTTCTTCTCCGATCTTTTCAGTCTCAATGTGCATCTGCCAGAGATTCTGATCGCATTGTAAGGTAAAACCGATGGAAATATTCTTATTCCCGAGGCCGTACCGGTACCTCACGTTATATTCTTGTTTGAATAAGCCGGTGGGAGGAAAATATGAGAGTAAAAAATTTTCCTGTCGAGTAAATCCCCCGATTCTCAATGAATAAACAAAAGGAGAAATTCTGGAGAGTGACGAAGGGTTGGTTTAACAGGTGGAGCAGTTGAAAGTTCATCCTGATGTTTAAAATACAACACTGCTATCACCAATTTACCAAGGAATTCAACTTTCTCCAACTGGCAGTCACCACCTCATTGTCCATCCCCTGGTTATCTCTTTCTCCACAGAAATGTGTCCAATGGACGGAAAAAAAAAGAAGTGATAAAAGAAGCGAGTACTTACCCTCACGGCTCGACAATCGGATGTTCCTTTGGATGTTTTTTTTTTCTCTCCTTCTCTCGTTTTACTCATTCCCCTGAGGTTTTTCTTTTTGGTTGGTAAACACACGAGGGGACATTCTAGTTTTAGCCCCTCTTCATGCTCCAGAGGACACGCACGCGTCGAGAAGCCGTTGGTGAATCGAGGCTTTCTTTCTCTCTGATATATTACATTCCCTTGACCAGCGTAAGCACAATTCTTGAGGGTAAATAAGAAAGAGGAATTGGGGGGTGTTTATTCGTCTTTACTCTTCCCGTTTTCCCAACGGAGGATTGATGGAAGTAATTTCGCCCCAAGATGGAATCAGCACTCACATAATATGCAATTAAAGGCTCAAAGATCCGGTGGATAAATATAAATTAACTGATGGATAATTTTGACTCGTCGAGAGTATCGTCACGAGTAATTCATTAAATAAACAATTAAATACTGAGGGGAGTCTGAAAAACTGGATTTTTAATGGTACCAGTGCAGTTACGAGTCTCGATTTCTCGTAAAATATTTTGCATTGATGGGTAAATGTACGTTGACATTTGCTTGTTGAACATGGTATGAGAAATAGTCGATGTCACATGAATGGAGTATAAAAATATCGGTTTTATAGCCGGTGGTGCATTGGTCGTGGCAAGAAACGGGTGGACAGATCGTAAAAAAATCGCGGGGATAAAACTACCGCTGTGTTCGCACGCCGTGCAAAGGAACAAAGTACTAAAATCGAATAAAATCGATTATTCACAATATTCTACAGATATGGGAAGAGATATTGAATGTTATATCCGGTCATTCACCCCAAGTCCCAATGAAATATGCAATGACGTCGAAAAACCGTTAATTACCCAGGTGATTTCAATTAGTTGTTAATAACAGTAAACTAAAATAATTAAATAATTCCGTGAATTCAATCTCCGAAAATTCGACAGTTGTAGAGAATGAATAATCAATTAATCATAATGGATAATGAGTAATCAGAGGAATTATAGTAATCATAATCGCAAAAAAAAATCACTCAATTGGAGGAATACATTTTTTTAATTAAATAAATCCTTGAAATGATTTTAGGGAATTATAATAAAATATTTAAAAAAATATACCTCATCCTGCATATAACGTATATATTATGTAGAACGTCAAGGATTTAATAACACATTACTCGTCATCCCTTTGCCAAGAAAGCCTGACGGAAATGCCTAAAAGGCAGATTGAGGGAAAAATGCGTATTGAAGTTCCCTAGAAGGAAGAAAAAATCCTGTAAATAATGGTATCGAAGGTAGGCAAGGAGGGAATAAATGAACGAGGGAATAAGAAGAGGAATGAAACCGGAAGTTATGCCTGAGGCAGTTCCAGGGATATCGAAATAAGTGGATAGCTCTCGAGGGAAGTTTCAGAATATCTCAGACACTGGAATCTGATTTATCTTGTGATTTATTCTTTATTCAGCAATGTTTTATTGGTCGAATATAATCATAAATGTTTACAATTGGCAATTTCATGGGCAATATCATTGATAAATGCTATTTACACGTATTTACAGACTTCAATGGATTTGTTTTATTTTTTTTATTCACTGATTGACTACTGAGTGAACTTGAGATTATTTACGTCGAGACCCTCTGCAATAGCTATTGCCACCCTGTCCAGTGAATCGACCGCGGATACGCAGTCCTAATAAATTCTAATTAGCCCCTTCCCCTTATCCCACCCCTTTAAATGTTATTCGTTAATCATGATGTGAAATTTGAGGTTTACACCGAATGAGATATGGATACAACGAGAAAACCAATGACGATGGAAGTGTACAAAATGGAAATCATTCTAGGACTAGAAAAATCTTCAGTGTTTTAAGTGCTCTCGTTTCTTCTGGTACTTTAATTATATTCTTTTAATCCTATGATACTGATACTCTTAAATCTATCCGTTTAAATACGTTCGATATGATAGTGTCACACTGGTCAGTTGTAATAATCCTTCGACGTTAGAGTCAGTGCTGTGTTTATTCCCTCATTCAGTTATTCCCTGTTTTAGTAATTTTTCTCATTAAAATACAGACTCACCATTCTCACGTGCATCCAACACTCGCGCAGAAACACTAGCTGTTATTAAAAATTTCATTCAATGATTACGAGGTCAATTAACTCGATGATTTCAGTCTTAAATTGTTAAAAATTAAGCGATTTTTGGGTCAGCGATATATTTTATCGGAGGCCGAGAAAAGCGGGTGAAAATAATGTACTTTCCCTTCGCTTGGTGGAGAGAAAAAAAAATATATATATCAAAGCCAGCGGAGTAACCTTTGATCGATACACCAACATTTGCAAAACGAGTTTACATCATTAACTGTACTTTGGCTGTGCCCACATACACTCGATACACAACTCCAGGCCATAAATTGAGTTTCATAACGTCAAAGGTTTTTTTTTTTATTTCCTCGAATGGAGCGCTGGGTACCGGTGGATTCAATCCTCATGACTTCCAATGAAGCTCTCCCTAATGACATTTGAATGTATCGAGTTTCAAAGTGAATCGCAAGGTGGATTTAATCGTCCATGCAAGTACCTCAGTCCTCACTCAATCAAAACAGTAAATAAAAATATTGGAAAGTTGAGACAGAGATTATGTCTAATTGTCATAATTCCGTGGAATGTCTTTTCAATCAAGTGACATTTCAAATGTAAACTGTCATTTTTCTTAATATAATTCTTTCGAGATGACAGGAGAGTATTTTTCCAACAGTTTTTCAGTGGAGTGTGGAAAAAAATTGAAATAAAAAAATATTTAATACTCTTTTTTAATGAGAAATGGATTTAATGTTTGAAGAAATGATCACCTGGTTGAAAAGACTTGGATTCAGTTGATCTCGGCTGGTCCTTCCTCGACGATCTTCTCGAGGATCTGATTGTGAAGGTCATTGTGCTCCTTGGACCTGTCGTGATCGACGACCCCATTCTCATGATTCTGCATGAGGCCCTTCTTCAGGACATTGAGGTACCCCTAGCTCTGAACAATATCACTGATATACTCATCGTGCAGTACTAACAAGTGTCTCGGTGGATCGATGGCAGTGTGAAGAGTCACAGTAACACCTCGATTAAGACTGACTGCTGGATAAAAAACTCCGTATAAATCGCGAAAGGCTATACCACCCTGTGGCTGTCCATCCACGAAGAAACGCAATGTATGTGTTGTATCAAGATCCAGAAGTACACCAACCGTTGATCCCTGCTGGACACCACCCTCTGTCCTCTGGGCATGACCACCACCATGCATAAACCACGACCTCTGACGGTCTATGTACATGCTCCAACCCTTGTCGTCCTTGCCTGAGAACACGTTAAATGGACGTTGAGGATCATGAATAAAGGCTTGGGATTTGTTTGTTGGTACTTGGGATTTCTGCGAGGAGGCTGTGCTTATGGGAGTTAGGAACAGCAGGTAATGTTGCTTGGGTATTTACTGGAGGTAGGGATTATTTGAGACAGCTACTGGAGAGATGGAATTCTTTGATAGATTATTTTAATTAAAATTCTATCAGAAAGTTGTTCGATGTCTTCAGACGAATTCAAATGAATTCACATGAATCCAGACGAATCGTCCTGTTGAAATAAATCAGTCATGACTGGATAAAGTTTTAAACTCACCGAGCATTTTGTCACGGGACACATCAGCCCGAGCAATGCCAAATGCTGGATCAGTGTCACTGTGATATCTGTCAATGGTGAGCTCCCAGTAGTGGACACCCCTGGAAAATCCGACGCTCGATAAAACCACTCGGTGTTCATATCCCTCGCACGATGCGCTCATCGCATTCTCGGATATGGTAACCTCCTGGGGAATACCCGGGGCACCAGATGCCCACGAGAACCAAGCCACTGTCGATCAAACATCAGAATGGAAATTAAAGTTTCAGTCGGATATATATTTTTTTTCATTCTTCATAAAAATCGAACAGACAAATTCAACTTTCTCCAGTTTATTTCCATATTCAGATGAGATACGCATCGATTTTAATGAACACTGGGAAATTGGAGGAGAGAAAAATCCTGGAAATTTACTCACACTCGGCAGTTTGAAGACCAATCAGCTCAGAGTACTCTCCTTCACCCGCACTGTTGAATGCCCTGACCCTGGCGTTGTACAGGGAATTGAAGTGTAGACCATCAACTGTGCATATAGTCTCTCTTCCACAATAAACCTCCTGCGTCAGAAGTGATTTTCGTTAATACGTTAAACTGGATATGGCCCAAACTCAAAGCTCAAACTTTCAGAACCTGACGGTTGCACTGTTAAGCCGGTAATGTGGAATTAACGAGCGTAAGCTTTTACTCCCTCGGCTTAACGACCAGTTACGAGATTTCTCAGAGTAAATACGAAGACGTACTGTTCTATGTGCTCAGTCAGTTATGAGGATTTTTTTTTTTCACTGTACTAATATTGATGTTCTTTTAGTTCACTCCGAGTGTCACACTTCTGACGGAGGCCTTTGCCTTTCTGTTTGATGAAAAAAATCAACTCTCGCAGTGGAAACGGAATTTAATCATTCAGAACATGCACTTCCGTGATACAATTTTTTATTTATCGATTCGACTGAATTTTTATCATTTTACGGGGGTGGATGCGGTCTTCGTGATTTCATCACTAAAAAGGGGAAGACAATCGCAAGAAGTGAAAGACCTGTGGCTTTTTTTTCTGAATTATTTTGAAGGGAGTGAGATTGAGTCTGTCTCTCGAGTAAAATAATTATTGGAAAGATATTACAGTGCAATTTCATTGAGAATGTAATCAGTGATAGTAACTGAAGTCCATTTGAAAACACGAGTTGGCTCTCAAGTTTCCGGGGTATTGTATTATGTACGATGGGGTTGGATAGTCATGGGTGGTAAGTAAACCGATTTTCTCGTGCAACCGTTATTGTCACTGGGACGAAGGAGAGGAAAGGGTGCGGGGGGGTTAGTGTCTTTGGGAGAGGAAAGAGAATTCAGTGGGAGGGGTGGAAAAAGTATTGAAAAAGGTCTCAAGCCAAATGGGTTTCTCCAGTGGACTGTTTGTATCTCTCTGACTATCCAGCGGACAACTTTTGACTTTGGTTTATGGAGACAGGGGTTAAAAGTATTGTCTGTGTATCTCACCCTGAACTCTCCACCACATCCGTCGTCAAGCTCCAGGAGATAACCTTCGATTGCTGGACCACGTTGACCACATCCCATACCGTGACCTGGTGGTGGCTGCCAAGCAACCGTTACGCTGTTGTTCTCGGCACTACAATCCTCTGGTAGAAGCACTGGTGCACCAGGAGCTGCAATTATTTCAATCATTCACTTTTCATTGATTAATCAAATCAATCGACTTGATTTTTTTGATTAATCAAATCAAACAATGGATTATTGTTTGTGAAATTGATCTGGCCATTTTTTAATGCCTGGAGTTTTTTTTTGTGGAACTTGAATTTTAACATTCGGATAATTTTTTTCATTTTTTCATTTTTTCATTTTTTTCATTTTTTTCATTTTTGCATTTTTTCATTTTTTTCATTTTTTTCATTTTTTTCATTTTTTTCATTTTTTTCATTTTTTCATTTTTTCATTTCTGCCGGAAGAGATAAATTTTTGCTGCAGCCCCTATCGAAAATCGGAAAAATCAAAAAAATCTTTCGTCCCTGAAAAACCAGCCAGTGCATATGTCCCAATAATTCCATTCGATTTCTGTATTTATGGAATTTTTACAGGAGAAAAAAAAAGGGGGGAAATCACAACTGGGGGTGGGTATTGTCGAGTACTGTGAGTTTATCCAACGCAACACACAAACGAAGGAATTACGCGATTTTCCCCAGAGGACAGGGTAATACCCGGCAGCTCTGCAGCTTGTTCACTGGTCCGAACATTCAATTAAATTCGAGGTCAATTGCCCTGGACTTGAACAGTAAAAGCAGTGAACACCAAAAAAAAAAAAATGCTCGTGTACACATCCTGAAAAAAAATTGTTATATTATTTGAAGTTTGTGTGGTTTTGGGATAGAAATGGCCGAGGGAATATGCCCTTGGAGGAATACAATTTAGCACTGAAAGTTCGTTGTACCCAGCACAAACTCATAATAAGTTCTACAGTCCCCGGCATTATATGGACTCTTGCGGTTTTAACTGAATCGACTTATGACTCTAAACCCCTGGGTCTCTCATCATGATCTCAACAATTATTTTTACCACATTTACGTTTTTACTACACCTGCAGACTATTTTCGTTACGCTAATTCTAGTATATTTTATAGCGCTCACGTTGGGAGAGAATTGATGCGTCTTTTAGAATTTTTACGATGGACTCCTTGGCTGTTTGCTTTTATGCCTCAATCAATTCTCATTTATGCAGTTTTTTTAAATCGATTTAATAGGGGCACGAGAAAATGGTGAGTTTTAGCATCGGTTGCCTTGGTACAATGTCGAGAGGGAAAATTCAAGTCAAAGTGATAAGTTTCCGGAGGTGCTTGATGGAGGAAACGAGAATGCCGGAGTTTTAGGGGTAGTAAATTGATTGGTTTTCTCTCCAATTCTCATACAGTGCAGTACGAAAACCTCAGTTTATTGCATCGTTTCTCCACTCATTCTCCACGATACGTTGGAGAAATTTTACCCCGAGCCCACACCAATTTTCCACTCGTGTTTATGAACTTTCAAACGTACCGCTGCAATAATCCGAGAATATATTTTCATTTTACGTGGGCACGAATTAATTGCTCACGCAATAAACGTCTCATTCTCGTATTAACGGGGATAATTACCATTTGGTTAATTGTATTCGATAAATCGAGACCTATCGCTCATACAATTTTTCATATTTATTTCGAGAAAACAATTATTCGAGTGAAGACGTCTGTCTAATTTTCATTCAATTATTTTTCGCATAATTCGCATTGCTGTCACAATGGATTTAATCGTAGGATGTTATATTCGAGTTGAATTATTGTGGCATTAATGTGGAAATAGATCCGACGAAAGCTGGAATATAATAGGAATATGTATTGAGTGCGGCTGACCGCCACATGTCACTGTAATAAACCAGTACCCATTTACCCAGATGTATCACTCACGATTTAACCCAGCATTTGGCTGTCTGATTACAGTCGGTTTATCGCAATGACGTACCTCTTCCCCCATAGAGATTGCTCGAAATTCCCCGTAACTCACGGTAAAATCGAATGCTGCACGCCAACACTGCGGCAAGATTGGGGCGACATTGATTCTCTCTAGTTTGGCGAAGGGAAAAGCGTCTGACCGCAGCGGGAATTTCTTCACTTGAACATTTCTCCCCCCGAAATCCATTTTCCGCTATTCCATCAGCGATTTTACATTCCTTTGTACCTTCCACTGTCAAAAGCCGCATTCAAATCAATCGAATTTTCATGTTAACCGCTCTTGTATGTCATAAAAACATTCCCGCGACAGACGAACAATTATTTTTTCGAGTGAATTTGATATTTTATTGGATTTTTTTTTATTTGCAGAAGCCTTTGGCTGTTTCTCGTTGGAAAAAAAATTCATTAATTTTTATCGATCGGTATTTCACCGATAAAAATAGCTGCTGATGTCAGAGTTCTGTTATCAAAATTTTTATCAAATTTTCCGAAAGTAAATGAAGCAGAAAAATGAAATTTTTTGTAATTAAAAAATTCTGTTGAATGCAGTTTAAAATTAATGATTTCCCGAGAATTGAAGATAATTTCGAGTTGTTTTCATTTTTCTAATTAGTTTGAAATTTATTTGATTTTCGGACTGAGTATTTAAAGTCACGAGTTCCGAGTCAAACCCAATCAAGTTCAATTAATTATTCAATTCTCAATGAATACTGATTAGTGGCGAAGGATTTAATTACAAAACTTGTTCCACATTTTCATTTGCAGAGACATTGCGGATACATTCATACTCCCAACCTGCATCAGCTGAGGAGCCCAGAATATGCAGAGACTGGAGGAATGTCGGATCCCTCTGATGAATTGAATGAAGAAGCCGAGATCAAAGGACCTCCAGCAATAATACTATCCCTCCAGAAATCCCCGATTAATCCTCCAGATCTCGGACTATCAATTCCAAAAGTTCATCACACCCGCAATTGTTCAAACCCCAAAAAAAATTCTCAACAATTCAATAACTCATCAAAAAGCATCTCTTGCCATTTCCAGAGTTTAAAATCCCAAGAATCCACAGACACCTGCAATTAATGAGCCCTCACATCTGCCAAATTATCATCCCCATTACCCACCCCCATTGATCTCCCCAAACTGTTATCAGTGGGAGTCGCCATTGCCCCGAAGTTCCTCCCCCCAATAAAATATTCCCCGTAAATCCGACAATACAATCGCCCGTTGGTGATAAAAAAAAAACCACTGACAGATAAAAACCCAGTTATTCGTTTTAAAATTCACCATTTTTTCCCCTATTTAATCCAACACATTTTCACATCACCCCCTCCCCTCCCCCATTAACGGAAAGCCCCGGGAGAAATGTGAGAGGGTGGTAGGGGGTGTGCGAGTAAATAGTGTCTCTGAAAAATGAAAAAATAAAAAATACCAGTGACAAATGGAATAAAATCCTGTATGGCGGATTGGCCGGACATTCAATAACTCTCTTATTCACACATGTACACCCTGGCATAATCTCCTTGCCGGTACAAACGAGCATTAAGGCGAGGGGATTTCAACGAGAGAATGTAACACTACCGTGAATTACCAAAAGCCCTTTTACCACATTTCACTGGTGTACGTGAATATGTGTTTACTGCCTTCTGCTCGGTACCGAAAGAGGTGATGAGGGGGTTAGACTGATTAAATTGCCCTCAAGGTTGATGTCTAGACAGACTCCACCTGCGCACTCACGACACGTCATGACTAATTAATAATTAACGAGAATTTTCGGGAATATTGTGCAGTTTCTTTACTCTGGTGGTAAATTTCCGGGGGATAATGAAGAATTATTACGGTTATTGGGGTACGTCAGCCCTCGAGGCCACCTCATAGTGGCGATAACATTAGAATTATTTTATTATTTAAATATGTGTAATGCTAATAATAAAATTTTGCATTTTTACAAATCAATAAATTTTCTGTATTTCATTAAAAATTAGTCCTTCAGGATTAATTAATTTTGTTGATCTGTCGTTTTGTTAATGTGAAAAAAAAATTGGTGGACAAATAAAAATATGAGAGGAAGAGGGTGATTAGTTCAGAAAATGCAGGGGATATTATTTTTTATTGCAAAATATAGAGCTCTCATTATGTTACTGGAGGAATATCAGAGGAATCATTAAGTCAGCTGGTGGCAGTACAGGGGGTGGTGGTTGCCTAATTAATCCGCTTTAGGAAGTCTTGGGAGAGGAAGGGGGTGTCTTTAAAGAAGTCGCCTGGGGGTAGGACCAAGGGAATTATCAAGTAATTCAGGGCGTCGAGGGCGTCGAGGGCGTCCGTGCGGACAGGGCCAACTACTACTGGAGAAATCGTGCTTATCGTGCCAACCTTGTCTCCTCTCTTTGTACATCTGGGAAATGGGTTTGGTTATTCTTTGGTCGTTACCTGCGGTTGGATATCGATCCTCTCCTTCGGATGCTGCGTCCAACGGGTGAGAATTTATGGTTAAAATTAACTGTGCACTTTTCAAACTACCGATTAAGAAAATTAAAAGACATGCTGGCTAGAACAATTATGGAAAAATCTTTGAACATTTATCCAATTAGAATTACCTATTATTTTTCCCAGAATTTCAAAATATAACAAAATCAAATGGACTCGAGATAAATTGGAGATTTTTTGTTCAAAGAGACGGAACGTTGATGGGAACGTAAAAAATTAGTTAGAAATCACGACACACGGATGCTAAAATGGTGGTAATATACTGACAAGACTCACGTTTCAGCTGTACAAAGGTAAGTTGATCGATGGCACGTCTGACGGGTTTGTCATCCAGGGTAAGATCAAGCAAGGGTAAACGTGCCATCTCCTGCACACCCTCAGCAGCACCCCAGGAGCCAGCGGCTGTTGCAGCCCTCACTGATAACATACCACCAATCTGGAGGAAAGCCGAGCTGTCTGTTTCCTTGAGAGCTTCAATGCAAAATGTCAAAAGGGCGGTTGTGGCTTGCAGATGAGTTGCACATCTTGCAACTTGATCCCTCAGGGATCTCACTCTCGCATCTCTCGTCTGCCGAGCTGCCTCGATTAATCGAGATTTTCTCGACTGCATCATTGTCACTAAACTCGCTACCCTGTCCTCAACTTCATCCTCCAGTGATGCGCATTCCTCCTAAAAATTGTAACAACAAATTTTCATTTTTTTAAATAAATTGTGAATTAAATGATTTTTTCAAAATTTTTCCGATCCCCGATTGAATGAACGAATTATTGAATTATTTATTAAAAATCTGAAAATTTTGAAAAAATAATCAATTTACGAAATTCTTGTTGAGACGTATTGGTTCATCCCCGTAGCTCACGGCAGCTTCAAGACCCCACCCCTGAATATTCAAGTAATTACCGTTCATTATCTGAGTAATGGAAGCGGCAAAACGAAAGGTTAGGGTATTTTCATACCCGGAAAATTTTCCACTGGAGCCAAGGAAAATTCAGCAATAAACTTCATTGCCCCAGCACACGCCATTTTCATGCGCAAAATGACATCACCCTCACTTACCCCTCCACCTCTAACACCAGTAAACATCCGATAATTATCGCAAAATGGCGAACCCCGGTCTTCTAACAACTATAGTAAAAAAAACTTGCGTAAAGTCGCCGAAATAAATCTTCGGGAGTAATTGTTTCGAATAATGTAATTAAAATTCATTAAATTACCTCCCCCGGAGGGGAGTCCCCGGAAAATCCGAAGAACTGAAAAGTCTGGTCAATCAATCCGACATTGCGTTTGTTCCCCAAACATTTGAAAGTGAATAACAAAAGAGGACAATGTCAATCTATTTGAGAGAAATTTCTGAGGTACCGAGAATAGAAGTGGCAACGGTAAAGCACTTTCCCCCTGGTTTTCCTAATTCAATTCCCCCTAAAATCCTTCTCACTGGCAGAGGGAAAGTACTACGTCACTAGCAACTGTCAGAGTGTACCAGTTTAATCTAATTTCCGGTAAAAAGTTTTTTTTTCTCAGATAAAAGAACGACAATGTCTTCAGCCACTGGCGTAATTTTATCCAACTCTTGTGCGATTTTTTCCTCATATATTTTTTCCAGTTTCGTGTTTTCATTTATCACTGGCTACGTAATTATAATAAACGCCCCCGGGGGTTCAACCTGTTCTTTTTTTTTGTCAAGTCGCATTCATGTCTCGCAGTATTTTTTTTTTTTTGTGCTCCGGGCGTACTGCACTCTTTTCTCGGTTTTATAGGCGCGAGCTTTTTCCCTTTTCAATTCTCTTCCTGTTCCTAGTGTGGGAATAAAAATGCCACGAGGTTGCATCTGGTGTTGTGTGACATGCAAGATCTATGTACTCACGTGCACTTTATCCGTCATCCCTTTGAGTCTTTGGATAAATTCTGTCGTCGAACGTGCGCGCTCCGACAACTGCTGGAGATTCTGTGACAATTCCGTCTGTAACATCAGAGAAATATTGATCGTCAGTGCATCTCAGGTACTTTCATTTGTCAAAAGTGATGGGAAATACTTTTTTTTACACTCGAGCTTCGAACTAGAAATTCCCAATAAAATTTACTCTAACACTCTGAAAATCGGTGCAGAGATTACGCAAGGCCTCGCATAAAAATATTATTTCTGTACGATTTTCACTCAACATTTCAAAGCAATAAATAATAATATTGTAAAACCACAAGAATTGAAAGAAAAACATTTTTTTTTCTGTGAAAAATCGAATTTCAATGAATTTTCAGGTTTTTATTTATTGAATTCAAATTCATTACTCGAATATTTCCGTGAATTTACTTGTAAAGTAAAAAAAGAGAAAGTTAATTTAAACAGGAATTTATTGTTAATGTGGATTGATATTCAGGGGGCAAAATTCTGCATTTGGAATCTTGCTTTAAAAAATAAAAAATAGGGGAAGAATATTCTACATATTTATTGAGGCGGTGTTTCGATACAAATAAAAAGATGTTAACATTGTCGCGTACAGTTTCTCACGTTCACGCGATATATCGCGGTGAACATCTAGGTGCAAAAGAGAACTTGATTTTGTATTCCATGTGGCGCACGTCTACCATTCGTGGAACTCTCATTCGTGATGTGTCGGTTTGAATCGATACTGGAACAGTTTCGCCAATCGATAGTCAACGGAATGATGCGGGTGTGCGAGATAATTCGATACTTAATGATTGAGAGGACGACATCGGGTCGAATACCCGGAGAAATCCATTCATCTGATGAAATTATCAAACGAAAGGGGTCGGGGATTCCCAGCATTCCAGCGGACAAAAAAATCCCTAGATCTAGAGCAGTCAGTGTCGCCGGGAAATTTTGAAAGTGGAGGGATGACTTTTTTAAAAAGTCTTGAGTTAATGGTTCTGTGGAAGGAATAATTTTTTTATCAGGCACGATCGATCGATCGGTTTTCAATATTCACGGGAATATTAATATCGCGGAAAATCCGGTGGTTTAAAATACAGTACTGAAGCGTGAAACCCGGGAATATGCCAACAAAAACCCCCGCCTCTGGTTTGCGGTTTAGCGGCGCTTTGACCGCATTTACCACAGCCCTCACCCGACGGAGAGGGGTTTTACGCCGAAGGGAGGTTTCCGAGAAAAGTCCAAGTTGGTTTCGTAAAAAAATACACGTAAAAAAAAAATGCCGGCGGAAAAATAAAACGAAAACGGCTAAATTCGGTCTTATCGAGCAAATAAGATTTTGTCGAGTCACTCGAGTCTCCATTGGGAGCCGGAAAAGTGGAAGGCGAAATGTTGGGTCCAGAGAGGCGATTTAAAGGGTGGACACGGAGTGAGAGTGAATCGAGGAGTGAGAAAAACTCCCTTTGTCATATCCACCCCGTGCCCTCTCATATTTCTAAAGGCAATAAAAAAAGTAACACGGAGAAATCCGATCGGATTCAGGAATCGAGTTACGTACGATTTCTTGGGGATTTTAGGTTTCATTTTAAGCGGACATTATCCCAATTTTATGGCGAATTAAATAAGGAAAATCATTCGCGATAATAATTATTTTTTAATATTAAATGAAATCTGTCAAGAGTGGAATAATTTTCTCGAGGGAGAAGTCATTCCATCTTCAGATAAAAAATCTCAACTGAGTTTAGGAAAGCGTCTCGGAAATAATGATGAAGCCCTCGAGACCGAGGGTGAAGTTCTTTGGGTCATATCCGTGTTTTATTTTCTCTTCAAACATTTTTCCACTAGGAAAAATCATCGTTACGTTGATTGCTGTCGACTTTTCATATTTCCCGTATTTTTCCCGCTCCCTGGGGACAAATAACGGACTGCACCCTTTAACGAACAACTGCATTCTGCCTTTGCTGAAAATTCACGTTTATTACGTAATTTTTAATTTTTCAATTTCAGTGAATACCTCCTCAATTTCCATGCTCCCCTGATACTTTTTTGAAAATTTTGAATTTTCAAATTTCAGTGAATACCTCCTCAATTTTCATGTTCCCCTGATACTTTTTCAAAAATTTCGAATTTTCACATTTCAGTGAATACTTCCTCAATTGTCATGCTCTCCTGATACTTTTTCAAAAATTTTGAATTTTCAAATTTCAGTGAATACCTCCTCAATTTTCATGTTCCCCTGATACTTTTTCAAAAATTTCGAATTTTCACATTTCAATGAATACTTCCTCAATTGTCATGCTCTCCTGATACTTTTTCAAAAATTTTGAATTTTCAAATTTCAGTGAATACCTCCTCGATTTTCATGCTCCCCTGATAATTTTTTGAAAATTTCGAATTTTTCAATTTCAGTGAATACCTCATAATTATTAAATAATTATTGGATTAATTCAATGGAAGTTTCCCAGCATCAGGATTTAATTGTGGAATAATTGATAGATCATCAAGTGATATTTTTTATTGAGTCGTTTTTTTTAGGGGTGAATTTGGAATTTTCAGTTAACTTATTGATTCCGATTATCGGATTATCACATTTGTCTCGGGCCACAGCACTTACGGATAAATTGTTTATCCAGAAGTCATTCGCGAGAATTAAAGTCTTTAAATCACGTCGACTTTCGATCTGCGGTCAATTAACACGTGGATGTCGTCTAGACGTCCCTCCAAATTTGGAAATGATTCACTTCATTGGGTGATTAATGAGGCAGACAGATTCATTAAACATCCATCGAGAAATGGAGAAATAATTGAGACAACCAATACCAAGAAAGGCCTCAAATTAATTCAATCAATAACAACAATAATCATCGCGTAAATAAATGAATAAAATTATAAAAATGGTTTGATTTAATATATTAATTATCCAATAAGCAAGAAGTTAAAAAAAAATCTGGGTAACCTACCCCCAAGGCATTTCATCCCCTCGCATGCGCCCGGACAAATCGTCAGAAAAACGTCAACAAAACGTCAACAAAACGATCACAAAATACCCATAATTTTCCACCAAGTAATTTACCATAAATACCAGCAATTGCCCTCGAAATTTTCCATTTACTCTCGTACATCAACTGGTAATACGCGAAATCGTCATATCATTTGAATTTACCCTTCGTGCCGTGGAATAATTGGTCATTACCTCCCTCGCTGGATTTTGTAGTAAAGATTGGTAACCGTGTTGTCCCATCGTGAAATTCATACCGTATATATTCACGTCGACGTAAGACCTCCGTCGGCGTTATCGTCGGCTGCCAGCCCACGCGATTCACCTGACCCCAAAGCTTTGTCGTCAACCCCCGCATTTCCCATCCCCCCAATTCCACATTTTTTTTTCTCATTCATCCCCTCAGGAGAATTCGAAACCCCATGTAGATACCCGTAAACACCGCGCACATTGCACAAAAAAAATCACCCCCTATTCTCCCCCTCGATTTCTCTCATTACTTTTTTTTTTCCCCCGCCCCTTCCGCGTGATGCGCCCGGCACATATGCCCCTCTAATAATATCCACTGCACACAATAAAACAGTAAAAAAAATGAAATTGCAGCACTAAAATTCGGGAATTAATTCAGTTTTTATTTCCCCCTGGTTGAAGCTAAAAAAGGTTTCCGTTTCGTCGATTAAAAATGGGCTTCGCTCGCTGGGTTTATTTTTTTTTTTTATGAACATGATGGGAATAAATACACGCGAAAATTGATTGAAAACGAAATGAATATAAATAAACAAATCGTTTAGGTGGGGTATTGATGAAAAGCAAATGAAGGGTGGGGGAGGGGGTTTATTCTGCATCGAGCTGATGTTTTTTCCGGTCATCCTGGATCCATTTTCACAAACGACTCAACCCCATCCCCTGGTGTTTCCTCTGTTGGTTCGAGTACTCCGACCTGTGTGTACCTGATATCGAGTTACGTTTCACAGGATTTTATCGTACGCCGAGAATCTTGAAACTCGTCATATAAATGCACTTCTGCGTTGTACATGCGATTTTTTTTTATCCCTCGTAAACTGGGAACCTCAGACTGATAGAGGCCGAATGCATTTTTATGGATATTGAGAGGAAACTATTTTTTGAAGACAGTCTTATTTTATATTCAGTGCAATTCCCATTCAGGTTGTGCGGGGGCATCATAAAAATTGGTGAGGGGAGGTATCGTGTTCTCCTTTTCTTTTTTTTTGGTTTCTTATCACCTAGGCGTGAATTCATGTGAAATCAGATCGAATGACGAATTCAAAAAAATTCTTCAGGTCCTTCGGGAAAAAAAAATTGTAATCAGAATATTTTTTCTAAATTTTCAAAAGATTTCCCAAAAATACAATTTTTTTGTTTCCCGATTTTTTGAAGAATTTTTGGTTGAAAGACAAATTTTTTGAGAAGTTTTCCAGAAATTTTTGGAAAATTTGGAAAAATATTCCGATTACAATTTTTTTCCCAGATGGGACGAAAAATATATCGATTTTAGAATGTACCCTAAATGAATATTTTGAATGATAATATTATTATTAAATAAAATTTAGAGTGAATACCGATTTTCAAAATGTCTGACGTAAATATAAAATAACGCGGAAATTCCACCAGTTTTACTGGGAAAATCCTTTGTCCGAGGGGCATTGATCCAAAGAACTCCACGAATTTAATCATATTTCCTTCCCCAACGGTTAATCCCCGGTCTCTCACCCAGTGCAACACCCCCGTCCCCATCTCCAGGATTTGGTCCCCTATTTTGATGAGGGGGACACGTGCTGGACGAAATTTTCCCTTCCGATTGAATGCCGCTCGAAAATTCGATATACTAGACTCTGCACTAAAGGGCATTTACATGTTTATTGATGTCTTTAGTGTAATCAATCTTGTTGAAGAGATTAAAGAGATGATTGGATTGTCTGACTTATGAATAAGATGAATGAGAATTAGAAATTAGAATAGTGTTCACTCATCCGCTTCGGACTCATTGTCGCAGAAATTTTTTTCTCCACCCGGGTAAAAAAAAATTGTAATCGAAATATATTTTCCAAATTTT